CTTAATAAAGTATTAACAAACAGAATTCAGCAACATGTAAACAAGATCTTTGTGCACAGTAGCAGCAATGATGTGAGGTTGCCTCAATATTCAAAAGCTAATTGAACATACTGACAATTCAGCATACTATTAACCCATGTTACCAGGCTAAGAAGGAACATATCTGTGTAAATCAATTGCTGCAGAAAAAACATTTGATAAAATCAACATTTTATCATGTCATGACCATATCTCTTAGAAAACTAAGAATTCAAAAGAAATTCTTCAACTTAATAAAGTATATCTGTTTTTAAATCCTACAGTTAACATAATATTTAAAGGACAAACCTTGAATATACTCTCCCAAGACTGAAAATAAGGCAGGAACAAACTACTGTCCTATACATTTTGTTCCTATTATACAATTACTGTGCTGAAGAGGAGGAATCAGAGGCAATCAGGAGAGCTCACACATGGAGTGAGTCGCAAAGAAGGGGCCACCACTCCTGGGTTGATCCCTGTGGAAAAGAAAATGGGACAGACCTGCTATCTACTGGGGGTCACAGAGAAGTGGGAATCCTCCCCGCATTTCAGGCCAGAAGACTTGCCCCATCCTCCCCACAGCACAGGACCAGGGCAGAGATCAGAGCACACGTCAGAGGCCACATCCAAGGGACACGTGAGGTGGGGCGTGGCACAGGTGGCTGGAGGAGTGGGGAGCATGACCATTAGAAGCTCCAGGGTGGCGCCAAGATCCCTCTAGGACACCCCCAGTGTCCCAGGAGGTGTGAGCCTTGAAGGGCTGCTCTGGAAATCCGCAGCACCGCTGTCCTGCGCTAGGGCAGGGTGCACTTTTGTTTTTGTTTCTATCTTGCTCTGTTCTTCCCGTACCCCTTCAGCTCTCACCCTTGCCTTCCCCTCTGAAATGAACTTTTAGCACTATACGTAGTTTGTCTCATCCAATTTTTTTGCTCCAGACAAGAAGAACCTGGAATACATTTGTTTGGCAAACCATTTTTAGAGAACCTACCTACAACGCAAGACTTCTGAGCTCCCATCACCATGGAGCAGGACCGAGAGAGAGGGAGAAGGAGCCCAGGGTTCAGCTGAGGTGCCACCGAGGCAACGGAGAGGGAGCTGCTGTGAGAGGGCTGGCACAGCCTCTCGTGGAAGACGTGCAAAGCACTGCAAAGTGCACACCAGCTCACAAGTGGCAAGCAGCTTCATTTACTGAAGGTCACAGGACGTTGTGTTCAGGGCAAAAGACAGGCACAGACAGAAAAGGTGCCGGTGACAGACAGGTAAAGCACTACACACCGGTCGTACGTGGCCCACGGAAGCAGTGGCAGCAGCGCCAATAAACCAGGCTTTAAGGACGTGGAAGTCGCACACCTCAGCCCGGGCGTTTCCGAGTCTCGAGGTGTGATGGGCAGGCTTGGCTGACAGGGCGCATGTCGTCCTGGGCCTTCAACTCTGACCCGAGCCTGTAGCATGTGTTTATGAACCTCTGAGGGGAAAGGTAACTGAAGGTCAGGCTGCGAGATCAATGATTTCCTGCCTTCTAGTCATTCTATTTTCTACCTCTTAGAATGCAGGAAGGAGGAACGGCCCTGGGGCGCTGTTTAGAGTTAAATGGGTGAAGAGAGGGCCAACTCAGCTACTGTTTCTTACTGTACCAAGAGCAGGGACAGGGTGAGCACAGTACAACCTTGTGTTTTGCTGACGAGATCCATGCATGGCCAGAGCGACTTGGCAGCACTCAGGCAGCTGGCAGCAGTGACCAAGGAGCAGAGGGCCCGGTGCCCAGCACTGGGTCTCCTATTGGCTGCCACCATCCAGAAGTTGGGCCCAGCGACAAAGAAGAAGGACGTGAAAACTTGACCAAACAGAAGTCTGCACTCACTAGGCACCAATCTGCCTCCATCAGAAGGGGGCTCAAGGCAGAAATGGAGCCCGATCCTGACAAGAGCAGCTGCCCAGCCTGCGATCCTACAATTCTGCAAAGAGACAGGAGGCTTTTGAGTCTGGTCTGGACAATTTAGAGATCCTCTGTCTCAAAATAAAAATAAAAATGGCTGGGGAGAAAGTTCATTGCAGAGGTCCTGGCTTCAATCTCAACACTGAAAATCCCAAAAAACAAACAAATAAACCTCCCATATCTTGCCACAGTGAGTAAAAACTTCCCTAAAGTCCTATTCTTTTCCCTGAGAATGAGCAGTGGCCAGTGACCTAGGAAGACACAGAAGTGCTTCCACACCATTGCCCATAATCAGCTCATCCACACCATTGCACATAATTCCTTCCCACCCCATCCCACCTGCCCGCAAGGGGCAGGACAGCCACCTCTCCACTTCTGGGGTCAGCACCCCCACATAGCCACCAGTGACCCTCAGGTTGCCTGAGCCACCTGACTGTCACAGAGGGACCTGGGTACCCCCAAGAACATGTGTCCTCCAGCAGGGCCAACATACGAGCACATAGGGTGAAATGTGGGGCACTCTCCTTCCGCGCTGGAAGGAGCTCACTTGACAGGAGAGAAGTTTCACAAGAACACTGTGCACACCTGTCTCCTCTCACTCCCTCACTCTACACCGGTTATCCTGGTGGGTCTTGTCTCGTGGTGGCTGGGCTGGCTGCTGCAGTGTGAGGCTCAGACCTTCAGGCGCACCATCTCCTGCCCATGGCTGCAGGATTCCCAGAACCATTGCTTGGTCTGTGGCCATCTATCCATCCACTTGAAGTCAGAGGGTGGAATATGTGGATCGCCTAGGTAGAGGCATTTTTCAGCTGAGTCATAAGGCTAAGAGGAAAAGGGGGCCCTAGAGAAAGCTTAGGTGCTCTTACCAGAATAGAGAGTGAGCTCGGTAGCAAAAGGAGAAAAGCATTGGGTTGACTTTCAGAAGACGGAGGCCCTGCCTAGAATGTCAGTATCCTAGACTTAGGAGATTCTGAGCAGAACAGATGGGGTGAGGACCTAGGTGTCCCTATTGGCAAAGACAGAAAGAGCTTCTCCTGACCACATCCTACCCACTACTCGGCAAATACCAGCTGCCTCCCTGCCCACCACGCTGGCCCAGAGCAAGGCAGGAGAGCTGGTAATCTGCACAGTGGAAATGATGCAGTATCAGTATCATTCTCAGCCCCTCTGCAAATCAAGGTGCAAGGAGCCAGACACCGAGGCCTGGTACTGTCAGCTCAGCCAGAAAAGCATCACCTCCAGTTGCGCTGTGCCACACACGGGCCTCAAGCCAAGCCGCCTACAATCCAGGCTCGCCTGCAGTGGGGCTCTCCAGGCAAGGCTGTGTCCAACAATGTCCAGTTTATGGATGATGCAGGATCTCATTCAGATCCATGCTCCACCCTCTGTGGACCTCAGAGACAGTTCCCTGGCCCTCTGCCTTCTGCTAGAGAGGAGGAGGAGGAGGCTCCATTCCTCCTGTTCTCACTTGGCAGGTGATCGTACGATGCTGGCGGCCCTGTGATAATGATCATAGCTCTTGTCACATGACTCCATATAGCTCTCTTGGGATGAGTAACTGCCTTGTCTAGCCCAGTGTGGGGACAGCTCCCATTAGAACCAGCCCTAGAGTCCTGCTCCATTCATTTGCTGACCCACACATATCTCCTCTAATAGTCCTATTACGAACTTTCCGAAAGTACTCAGAGTGATCCCTGATTCCCAACCAAATACCAGGCATTTGCATGACTTCCTTGACCTCCTCAAGGAGAGAAAGAAAGGGTTCAAGCCTCCACCTGAGCCTCAGAAGGGACCAGAGCTCTGCACACTTTGAGGAGCTGCTCAGAGGCCACAGATGCCAGGAGAAAGAGGTGGCAACACCATCAGAGATCTGGGACCTGGACAACACAGGAAGGCAGTCTACGCTCCTCAACTTCTCCTAGCTGTGAGTGGCCAGAGGGCTACTTCTCACAGTGGAGTGGGGCAGGAGAGGAAGCGCCACTTCTGGGAAAGATATGCCATGTTCGCCTCTCTCCCCAGAGAACCCACCCATGTGGCATGTAGGTGCCAACCAACCACAGCGACAGCAGCACCACCTGGAGGAAGGCTGGAGAGGTACTCCCAGAACTCCAGAACGTTCCACAAGCAAGTTTTGCCTGGGCCTAAGAGAGGTAAACTTCTGAGCAGAAGCCATAGACTTTTGGATTTGTTTGTTGGAGCTGAGTCCACTTCAGCTCCAGCCCTGAAGCCAGCATGGGCTGTGTTTCCAGAACGCTGGGTTCTGAGAAGAGACTCCTCCTCCGTGAACCTGGCCAGGGCTGGGCAGGTGCCGTGAGTGGGTGGAGTGCTCACACTCCCAGTTAGAGCCAATTATTCACCACGTTGGGCTGATGAACTCCAATAAGAAAGCCCTCAGTGATTTCATTTTCTTGGAAATTAGCCAAAAATTAGCCTAATAATAATGGGTTTTTAAAACTGTCTAAGTACATTTCTTGAGAGTCTCTCTTATTTTGATTTTACAACAAACTTTCCCCAAAAAGTCTAAGGTGGGCTTGGGACCAGCTATTCCGTGTCTAGTAACAGCAGAAAGTCCTGTGTCCAGTTTAGGGCTCCCTAGGACATGCCAGAATTGTCCAGAACTATACATATGGACAATGAATGTTCTCAATAACTAATGCCTCACCTGCTCTTCTTGTCAATTTTTATTTTTTATCAGCACATGTTTACAGTACACAGCGACCACATTCCGCACAGGGAGTCGGGACGTGTTGGGACATGTGCCTGGCGCCGCTCGGATCTTCCTTCAGCTTTCCCCCTCCACTCTCACCTCCCCCCCCTCCCCTTCTCATTTGCAAAAGAGCCATCACCTGTTTCCTATCACCTATCTTTTATTGTGTTCTTCATTTATCCTTTAGATCTCTCCTGTAAGAAAAACCATGTGATGTTTATGCTTGTGTGCCCGATGTATTTCCCTTCACATTATGATCTCAAGGTGTGTTTGTTTTCCCACAGATTCCTCAAGTTTAGCACCAGAAATTTTGAAAAGAAAGAATTTCTCAAAGTCTTAGCATGTCTCAGTCTTATTTATGTACTACAGTAACTTTTGATGACAAAAAGCAAAAATCACAGAGAAGAAAACAGGAAGAATATTGACTGAACTCGCAGCGCAGCACACATGCCCACCTCTCCTCCCACTCCTGCAAATGACTCACGAGATCCAAGTAGCTGGGCCTGACTCCAGCAAAGGAGGAGGTAAATCTTTTTCACTTTATTCCATGTTTATGTGTCAACCCTCGTCCTCTGTCTGTAACAAAGTTTGATCCAGAGAAAATGGTGAAGCAGCAGGCGTTTGGGTTCTGGCTTCTAGCTCTACCTGTGACCTTCCTCTGCCCTTCATATGGCACCTTGCATATGACCTTCCTGTCAAATTGAGAACTTGGTTTAAGTTATTCCCGCATTTCCTGCCAGGTCTGCATCATTTCGGGTTTGACAGAAGCAGACAAGGGGGCTTGAGAGGAGAGTGGAGGGTTATTGTTACAACTTTGCAAAGGGCTGGGAAGCCAGGAAATGGCATGCGGCCTGGAGTCAGTGACACGCTGGTCTTGCAGCAAAGGAAACCAGGGCAAGTGGTTGAGGGTCCCTGGCAGGAGGACACAGCTGCAGCCTCACTCTCTCCCTCTAGGAAGCACCACTCCTGGACCAAACCTAACCAGAGCCCCTGGCTTAAGATCAGGCCCTGTGGCAGAGTGAAGACCAGGGTGAGTCCCAAGGGCTGAGTAGGGGCCGTTGGCTGGTTCTGGGTCAGAACATCACAAATGGGGTAATTCAGAAATGAGACACTCACTTGGCTCTCAGTTCTAGAGACTGGAAAGTCCGAGAGGCCGTGCCACCCTCTGGCAGGGACCTTTGACCCACAGTAACTCATTAGGAGGACGTCGGGCTTATGAAGGATGGAAAGACCACTGTGCCCGAGTCACCCCTTTGTCAGGGGTCCACATCTGTAAGAGCTAACCCACTGCAGGAGCTAACCTCACACTGCTGATGGGTAACTCAGGGTCAGCCTGAGTTTGGGGGCACCTCCGGGGAAGCTGGGAGCACATGGGCACCGCGGACCTCTCTGGCTGCTTCAGGTTCTTCGTGTTTGCTGCTTTGTCTGCTGTTGAGCTCCAGGTTTCAGCAAGACTCTGAGCCATAGGGGCAGACTGCGTCCTCTGAGCACAAGGTTGTAGAACTAGAAATAAGCAAAAGCAGATACAAGATCTACTTGGAGATGCAGAATATATTCACCTAAACTGTCATAGCTGTCTAGGTAGGGAACAAATGGATATTAGACTGTTTTACCTTACCAATATTCAGAATTTAATATAATTATCAGTGAATCTGGAAAAATATCTGTACTTACAAGAAAAGGTAGTCTTAAAACTTATCACTTAAAAAAATTAATAATGAATGTTGGGTGCAGGGGCTCAACATACCATACCCTACCCGGGACTAAGGACCACGCCAGCTTCCGCAATGCGCTACGTCCCTCTCTAAATTAGCCAACCCGTGTGCACCTCGTGCTCACTCCGTATTCGCCCCGTGCTGACTCTGTGGCAACCCCTGATTGGCCACAGCTGGATATAGTAGCCAGAGCCTGCGTCCCATTCCCGCCCTGCTTCCTCGTGGCAGCCTGTGATTGGTCACGGCCAAATATATAAACCAGAGCCCGCGTAAATAAAGCAGCAGTTAAGTGTCGCCCACAAGAGCGTCTCCTGTTTCATTGGGGCTGCACCGGTCAATGAAAATGAAGTATTATGCTCTTAAGATGTTGTGAGAGAAATAACAAAATTCTACTAGAGAAAGCAAGAGAGAAATAGAGACAAGAACATAGTAATGAATATATTAAAGAGTAGAACTGATTAATAGATTGGAAGTCTTAATAACATAATTAAAACAATTGTGAGAAAAGACAATAATACAGCAGCACAAAAGCAGCACCCAAAAAAGAGGAAATAACACAGATGGAGAAAATTTAAAGAATCATAAGAAACTATTTGGTAGTCTGTGTAGCAGACTGAGAAACACAAACAAAGGGTCCTGGAAATTACAAGCTACCAAGATTGATACACAAAAAGTTAGACAAACTGGATAAATCAGCAATTATGTGAAAATCCTCCATGGTTAAATGGAGTTTATCTACAAAACACATCATGTCTAAATATTGGGAAATATAGTATTGCATTCTAATCATCCAGCGGGCAAATCCAAAAAGGTGAATTAAAGTTTTAGAAACAAGAATTTGAGACACTAGCATTGTAAAAATAAATATGCAATTGGCAATATATTTATTACATGTTAATAAAGTCTGATTTTTTAAAAATAGAAGGTAGATCATATTTTGAATAGTAACCATTACGCATAAAACATTCAGAAATAAATTAGCTAAGAAATGTGCAAGACATATATAGAAGAAAGTATATAACCAAAAGATTAAAAACGGATTGGATAGGCGCACTTTTTCTGAAATAAGAAGACATAAAAAATTAATTCTTCCAATAAATATTTTCAGTACAATTCTGCTAGAATCTCAATGAGATTTTCTTGGAATGTGACAAAATGAGCATACCTAGGAGCACTGTAAAAATAAAAGTAATGAAGGTGTCCTGCACTATTAGATTTCAAAATAGATAAAAAAAATAATACGCCTTTTATCTCTAGACATCCCCCAGCTCTCGTGCGCTCATGGGTGAGGCTTACAAGAGGAGGTTTGACATAGATGTATGATGCTGGGCTAGGCTGGGTTAGGTTAAGGGTGTGTGATCATGAAATTGATTTAGTGCAGCTCCAATAGTGGAAGCCCCATTAGCCTTGGATTGGTGGCACCCATCAAGGGGCTTGTGGTCTGGATGGAATGCAAAGGGAGGGAAAGAAGGCAACTGTTGCTTGCTGCTTCCTACCTGGCCTGCTATGGACAGTGAGTGCTGTGCGATGCCCTCTGCTGCACCAGCCTGCCTCAGAGCCCGCTGACTATGAACTGAAACCTCTCCACACTGTGAGCCAAAGGAAACCTTTCCTCCTTTAACTTGTTGGGTATGTTGTTCCATCAGTAAGAAAAGTAACTAAGACAAAACAGCAGTAGAAATAAAACTGTGTCACCAAGGACAGGCAGATGGGACAATGGAACGAACGGAGAGCTGGGGACAGTACCAAGTGTAGGAAAAATGTATCTGATAGAAATGTTACTTCACGGGGCTGGGGATTTAGCTCAGCGGCATAAGTGCCTGTCTTGCAAGCAGGCAGTCGTGCGTTCGATCCCTGGCACCGATAAAAACGAAAAAGACCAGAAAGAAAGAAAAGAAATGCTACTTCACATCAGCGGTAGAGTTTGAATTATTCAAACAAGTAGAGTGTGGACAATTGCTCGTCATGTGAGAAAAGTTAACAGTCCAGTCAGACTCCAATCTCACTCCTTCTTAAAAGATAAACTCCAAATGAATTAAAACTATGAGTGGAAAAAAATGAAACTACAAAACAGAAAAGAAAATATGGGCAAATATTTCAATTTGGAAGGTGTTGGCACAGGGAGTGGGTATCTACAATCAGATGCCATAAAGAATATGTCTCATCTACACTAAAATTTAAACATTTATAACAAGCCATAGTAAGACATATATAAGACATATTAAGACAGTGGCATGGGATTAACAGACAAGCAGCAAAGTGACAGAAGCCAATCACACACACGCAAAAGGCAAATCCCGGTACACTCACGGTAGTCAAAATCACAGAAAGAATGGTGGCTGCTGGGCCGGGACCCCGGGTGAGAAGTTACTGTTCAATTGATGCAAAATTTCAATTTTACAAAATAACGAGTTGTGGCGACAGATGAATGGTTGCTCAACAGTAGCGATGTATTCAATATCTACAAATAGCTCACATGTGAATGTTTGATATATTTTGCCACAACCAAAAAAAGACATGTGACAAACTGGAAACTATTCTCATTGTGGATTACTATGCATGACTCTACACCTGATATCTAAAATAATGATGAATCTGCAAGAAAAATATAAATTCATCTGCAAAATTTTTTAATTAATGTGAGCCAAAAATCAAATGCAAAAAATGCAAATGACTAAATATTTTAAAATAAAATACATTTACAAAATATGTGAAAATTTATACAAGAAAGTACATGTTTTTCTTGCTCCTTCAAAGTGGAAAACATTTAAGTGACTGACAACAGCAATACTCGGGCTTGGAAAGTGAATGAAGAGAAGTGAAGGCTGGTGGTGGTGCACAGAGTACAGTTCCCTGGAAATCAAGTGGTGGGTACAGTGTCTAAAATGCACAAATATTTCTTAGCAGAAATTCTGCTTTGAGGAATTCAGGATATGGTTGGAAAGGGTATATACAAAAATATTAACTGCAGAACTATTTCTAAAATCTATTAATTGAAACAACTTCACTGTGAATCACAAAGAATCAATTAATAAATTAAATTTGTAGCAATGCAACATCAAGCAGAAACACCAAAACCACCCCCAGGATTTGGAGGCAGACTTAATTTGCATCGATGGGACTGACTGGGATCATTCCCAGAATATCAGGCCCTGATCGCTGGTGGTCTAAGGCTTTTAGATGACGAGAAGCAGAGGTACAAAGGTGAGACAGAACAGCCTGGCAGTTCTTCTGATATTGGTCACAACGGTAGATAAATGAGCATCAGTTTATAAAGCTTGGTACAATCAGGCATCCTGCATGTTTAGGTACACCTTTGTGGTTACAGCGGTCAATAAAGCCATGAAACAGTTACAAAGCTAGGCAGTTTCAGAAGAACAAAGTTTTAAAAAGCTACTGAGTTCAAGGCTAGCCTGGACTACACAGCAAGAATGTGTTTCTAAAACAACAGCAACAGCAACAAAATTTGTAGTGATATGAAAGAATATTCCCACATACTACCAAGCAAAGAGAGGAAGAGATTGAGACAGCACTTTTATACAGGTTGAAGCAGAAGGATCATAAGTTTGAGCCCAGCCTGAGTGAGACTCTATCTCAAAAATAAAAAGGGCTGGGAAATGTAGCCTAGTGGTACAGTACTTGCTTTGCATGTACAAGTTTCTAGTTTGAGCCCCGCCACACCACACACACACACACACACACACACACACACACACACACACACGTGCAGAAGAAAGGGGAGAGGAATCCCAGTGCCCAGGTAAACCTGACCAACTGAGCTCCAAGATGGAGCAGGAAGCTTTGCTGAGCAGATTCCATTTCCAAAAATTCTCCTGAGCATGTGTATTTGAAAAGTCATTTTTCACCTATGTGGAAGCCATATTTCTCTTTTGGAATATATTGCCAGAAGAGCAAAGGTTCTGTTATACACTACATATACACCACACCACTCAGAAATGTACCTGTGCACGCCCCTCCCTGTGCTCCCCCCTCCACCGGGGGCTTAAGTGCATTCTGACCCACAGAACATGCATCGCAACCAGCACTAAGTCGGGCTCCAATTCAAAGTTTAATAGAAGCCCTCTGTGAAGACTTGGTCCCTGTCATTAGTTAGCTGTTCCTAAACTCAGAGATCAAACCCACCAAACCATTTCTTAATTCCCCTTGGCTCTTTATCTACAGAGAGCACGGCCCAAGTTCTGGATAAGAAGGCTCAGCCTCCGTCTATAAGACTCTTTGTACTTTCTGGGCCTCAGCTTCTCCATCTGTAAAGTAGGGTTATTAACCTGTATCCAAAAGCCTTTCTGGGAGCAGGGGACCAAACCAGGCAAAGTCCCATGTCCTTGGAATGCTCCTGCAGGCATCCTCCCCGTCTCTCCCCAGCACAGCACCTACAGCTGGATGCACTCAGTAGCCAACCCAGAAACTATATCTTCCCAGGCAGCTTGTCCTGTGTCTCAAGGGTCTCAAACCTGGCTGGCAACCAGGCAAAGGCTACCTGTGGGCACTGGAGACTCCTTGCATGGTGTGACCAGATCCAGGCCCGTGTCTCTCTCTGACAGTGAGGCTCTGAGCCAAGCCTAGCCTCCTGGGAATGTGGACCTAGGCTTTCCTACAACTCTAAGACGAGCAAAAGCAAGGCCTTGGCCTTTGCAAGGCTTAGTGGGCTGGGCAAGGAGGTTTACCTTGACCCTGGTGGCATGTTGGAATTCCCTGGGCAGCACTTACAGCAGGATGCCCACGTCCAGCTTCACAGTTCTGCCACACTGGCTTAGTGTGCAGCAGGCATACCAAGCTTTTTCAAAGCTGGCTCTTTCTCATTTTAGAGTGTATTGCTGCATCTCAACCAGCACCAAGTCGGGCTCCAATTCAAAGTTTAACAGAAGCCCTCTGTAAAGACTTGGTCCCTGTCATTAGTAAGCTATTCCTAAACTCAGACCAACCCCTTTGGTCAACCTCGTTTTCCTGACTAGGCCTCTGATCACACACAGGGAAAGAGCATTTCCTCTCCACACCAAGGGCAGAAGGAAGAGGAGGCTGGGGCTGGCCTGCGTTCTGGGAGGCAGGAGTTCTGTTCACAGCTGTGTCCAGGGGCCAAGCCAGTAAAACAAACGGGCTGAGTGGGAAGGAAGGAAGGAGTGACTCCAGCCTCTCCTGTTTCCTGAGCGCCTAGAATCTTCCAAAGTGTGAAACTGTGGCCTTGTTAGAAGTGGCCCAGGTCCACCGAGACTTCTGATGACCCCTAGCTCTGCCAGTCCTCCAACCTCAGCACACCTAAGGATAGAGAAGGCACAGCTGCAGCCCAGGTCTGTGTCCTGCCGCCCCCATGCAAGCCCAACCCTGGGCCCTGTGCACCTGAAAGCCCTTCTCCCTGACTATCCCATCCCCTCCTGTAAAACCAGAGAAACTCCCTGCAACCCAGGATCACTCGGCCAGGTCCCAGCTGTCCCCTGAAGTTACCCTGGGCTGGGGAACAAACTGCCTAATAGGGGCTCACAGAGGGGCCTAGGTCAAGAACGCTACTGAGTAATCACATTTTCATCAAGAAAGCAAAGAGGGAAGGAAAGGTGATCACCCAACAGGGTCCCTCTTTGGAAAATCAAGGCTGCAGAGGCTTAGTGATCTGCCCTCTCTGTTTCATTATTTGTGAGGAAAAATCAGCATCACCAGGAAGGCAGGCCTGGCCCACTGGGCCCAGGAGGAGCGCGGGCCACTCCTCCTTTACTCCTCAGCTTCCGCGGGTCCTCTGCAGGAATCCCGGATCTGCCAGGATCCCTTCCCTAGCCCTCCAAACCCAAGAGGTGTGCGCGCCTGTCTGGGCAGGTCATCTGGCCTCCCTGTCTGGCTGCACGCGGCATGGCCAGGATGCCTAGCTCCGACTCCGCGAGGTGCTGCGCTTGGCGTCCTTCGCTCTGCGGCAGACGCGCGGCGCGCGTTCCCCGATCCGCACCAGCCCGCGCCTCCGGATGCAGCGTGAGGGCGCGGTGACGTTCTCGGATAAATGCCGAGTAACTGTGTAGGCGAATGGGAGCTAAAAATAAGCACGGAAAATCTATCATTAAGGTATCACTGCGCCCGCGCAACTACTGAAGGCTCCCCGGGTTCCGCCTTCGGGCTCGGGGGCACCTGCGAAAACTCTCCAGCCGGACCTCAGAGCGCACGGGTGGTGCTAGGAATTATGGCACCGCTGGAAACAAAATAAGTCCCCTACCCCCAGTCCGCCCCGCGTACCGGCCCCGGGAGGCCGCTCAAAAGGCCCGGAGCGGAGACGCCACGGGATCATCTCACCCTCCGCCTCTTCCATCCACCTGGAACTGGGAAATACGGGCGGGGGGTGGGGGGACAGGGGCGCTGGAAGAGAAAATGACAAGCGAGACTTGACCCCACGTCCGCACTGCTCCGCGCCGCGGGGGGCGCACAGTCCGCATTCCGGAGGCGGCGAGGCCCCAGGTTCCCGGGTTCGATGAAACCGATCCGATTCGCCCTGAACACCGGGGAAGGGGTGGCGGGGGCGACCGGCCAAGCGCGCGCGCGCGTGTCCCTTCCGCGCGGGGACGGCCTCGCGGGCCGCGTCACCTGGCTCCGCCCGCCCTCAACGAGCCGGGCAGGGCGGCGGCCTCTGCGGTCCGGGCGCTGCGGAACTGGAGGATCCAGGAGCCGACCGCGAGTGTAGACGCGGGGGCGGAGCGCGGGCGCGCGGAGGGGCTGCGGGGCCGCGCAGCGAGAGGACGCGAGCGCCGGCCACTGCCCGGGAGCATCATGCAGAAGGGCATCCGGCTCAACGACGGCCACGTCGCTTCCCTGGGGCTGCTGGCGCGCAAGGACGGCACGCGCAAGGGCTACCTGAGCAAGCGGAGCGCCGACAACACGAAATGGCAGACCAAGTGGTTCGCGCTGCTGCAGAACCTGCTCTTTTACTTCGAGAGCGACTCGAGCTCGCGGCCCTCGGGGCTGTACCTGCTGGAGGGCTGCGTGTGCGACCGCGCGCCCTCGCCCAAGCCGGCGCCCTCGGCCAAGGAGCCGCTGGAGAAGCAGGTGAGGGCGGCGGGCCGGAGGGGTACGCGGCTGGGACGGGCAGGCCAGGACCCCCCGACCTGCGTCCTGACCGGAGAGGCTCCATCCACTCTGTGCCCGGCCGGACGGCGTCACTCCGCGGGAACGTCCGCGCGAGCTTGCCCGGGTGTGGCTCAGCGTGGTGACCCCTGCACCCCTGCCAACTGCACTGCCGGTTCCAAAGGCCCCTGGGGCTCAGGACTGGGCCATAGGTGCGGCGCTCCTCGCTGCCTGCACAGCCACTGAGCTGCACTCTTGTTCCCAGCCGCAGGGCCCCAAGGCCTGGACAGGCGCGGGCCTAGGTGGCGGGGAGGAGGGAGAGCCCTCTGCTGTCTCCGAAGGAATCTGGTCCCTGCTGCCCAGGGGAAAGTAATGGTAATGGATCCTCAGATGTCACCACCTAAAGGGACCTGGCATCCACACTGAGGCCCAAGGGATATATATATTCAGATGCCTCCAGGGTCTGAGTTTTTCTATGCCGCAGCTGCACCGAACTGGCTGCATTAAAGTCATCCCTAGAAGTCGTGTTCCCACTAGTACAGACATCCAAGCTCAGCCTGTCCAGCGCGCCTCTTGTCTCCTTGCTGCAGCCTCTGGGAGTTAAGAGATGGTTCTAGGGCTGGGAGTACACACGAATGTTTAAGAGGGGATCTCTGGGACTGACCAGCGAAGCAGACAAGGACCCTGGAAACAGATAACAGGCAGCTACTTAAGCTCAGAGCTCCAGCCAGCCGAGAGGACTAAGCAGTCTTGGCTGTCCACCCTGGTAACCTGCCCTTCTCCAGCCCAAAGGCCCCAGTGTTTGCCCTGGCCAGAGCCCCTCCACCCCTCAGCCCTTACCCAGTGGAGCTCCTGGGCCAACAGAAAGGGTTCAGAGTGTGTTCCCAGGGCCCTAAAAGGGAACACTAGCAGGCCTGGAGTCCAGGAATGCAGCTCACTACTTCTAGAGATGACTTCAGATAATATGCTAAACTTCTCTGTATCTGACGTGTGACCTACAGGAGAGAATAATAACTGACCTTCCTGGGATTCTGATTTCACTAAGTTAAATGCTGTATATATGACGGGATGCTCACAGTACATTTTACTGGTATCTGAATGAACCTCAGTTGAATCTAAATTCTACCCATTTGGGCAGCGGTATTGAGGAAATTGCACGTTAAAGCAGAAAAGCACCTAAGGGTGCACATGGCCTATTCTTCCGTTTCACAGATCACAGCACTGAGGCCTAGAGAAGGGAAACGGTTGCCCAAGATCACAGAGTCTGGCAGAGTCAGACCTAGAATTCACCAGTGTCTGGAAATTCTGAAAGGTGAGCCCTACACTGGCTCCAGGCAGGCCCCTCTTGACTCAGTGCTGAACTGTGCTAGCGCCCATCCCAGGACACATGCATGCATGTGAACTATGTCTCCGGGTGTCCTCCTGTGAGGAGGTGTCCTGGCATCAGAGGAGAGAGGTGAATTGGGAGCAGCAGGTGGTTGGCGCTGCCCCACTGGGCACACTTCCTGTCCTAACTTCATGTTGTACTGTGTTCTACTCTGGACAAGTTTGGTGTGTGTAGGAAGCAGCTGGTGCCCCTTGGCTGTGCATGTGTACAGAAGCATCATGGCTTTTCTAACATTTGCCTAACATCGATGCCACAGTGGTGGTTCCTGTTCCTCCTGGTCTTGGCTCCTCACTAGCATGAGGTGCTGCACCCAGGGCAAAAGGCTTCAACTCACTCATGACACAGTCTGGGCCATAGAACATGACTCCAGGCCTGCTGGGCACATGGAGGGTGCCCGAGGTAACAGGCCGAAGAAGCCATCAGTCTGACAGAACTAGCTAGAGTCTAGTTAAGGCTGTTTTAGCGGGGCATCCCCCTAGGTCCAGATGGCTTCTCCTCTGTAGTTCACAGGATGGTTTGTAGGGAATGAGGGCCACGCTGTGGCTGGGTGCCACCCACATGGTAGATGTGCAGAAGCGTGTACTGAGCTGGGCCTGCTGGTGCAGCGTGTTACTTCTGCATTCTGCACACTGAGGAAGGGTCAATGTGAGGCCTGCATGGGGCCCTTGGCCTAAGGAGCCAGTGGTCACATGCCCAGAGAAAATGGACCCTAATAAGGATGAGCTCTTTGCACTAGAAGATACTCTGATCCTGGACCTTGCAGGGGCCTCAAAGAGCCCAGACCAGCACCAGGCCCATCCGACCCTGTGCCTCCCCACCCCACTGCATCTGGCCTGGTCTCCAGGCAACTGATATGGTCCTGCCACCCAACAGCCAGCATCTCAGGCAGTCAGATCCATATAGCCACGCTCTGCTACTTCCCGTCCTGGCCCCACTTGTCAGTCCTGGCTCCTCTCCCCACACCGTGCAACCCATTCTCCAAGGCTGGGTGCTATGGTCTCAGAGTTGGCTGTTCTTTGGAATCCCACACACTGCTTTGCGGTGGACACACTTTGCACTGGCTTTTTCAGCTCCTGTAATCGTGCTCTCAGGTCTCGTTTCTCAGGAGCAGAGCAGCCAGGGTATGCCAGGGAATGGACTCCAGGCTCTTCTGTTCACCAAGGACAGAGAGGGTACAGGCAGATCACTGCCACCATAGCCTCCCCACCTGGTGGGGGCGGTGCTGTGAGAGCTGCCAGGCAAATGCCTGTCCCCAGACATGACAAAGTCCTAGTCCCGTGATCTTTTCCTGGATGCGTTGTGGGTTCATACCAGCCCGCAGGCTCGGAGACAAGTAGCCACCCAGCAAGGTGACAGCAGAAACAAGACTCACTCTGACTTTGTTCCTCTGCTTCTGCTGGCATCAGCCCAAAGCACACCCTTTGAGCCTGAGCACATTTGAGTTCTGCCAGTCCTGAGATCACAAACCATGTAGTGGATGTGACCAGCAGCTTGCATAGAGAACCTGCACTGTGGGGGTCTGGCAAGCCTGAAGCCAGAACCTACAATGATCAGTGCTGCTCTCCTTGCACCCTGCAAAAATGAGGTGGAGAGGCTCCTGATTATGCCTTAAGGGAAGAGCAGGCAAGGGTCGGGAGCAGATCAGACCCTCACACCTGCACTCATAGCACTCTGCGAGCTCTGGGTGCCATCCACAACTTGGTTCCCAGTGCCTGGCCTGGACTGGTCCTGCAGGTTCAGAAAGGAGAAGAACTTGGGCCTCATTCTTCAGCATAGCCCCATGGACATTGCCCTTCACCCACAGCAACTGCCCAGAGCAGAGGGGATTCATCTCCCTCGAGGCCCCTCTTCAGGTCAGAGTTGGGGCCTGCCTGACTATTGAATAGCTTCTGTCCAATGCCCACGTACCCATCCCAGTGATCCCTCTGGGTACAGGCCACCAGGATCCTTTCCTGTTATATCCTTTTAAAATTTTCAGTTGATGTGTATGTTGGTATATATTTATGAGGAACAATGTGGTATTTTAATTCCTATGCATACAGTGGTGATCAGCTCAGGGGAGTTCACTCATCCCTTCCCTTGCACTGAGTCCCCACCTGATGGCAAGTGCATTTCAACTCCGCTCTTCTGCAGCCAGCACCTGGGAGATCACTGAGGTCTGACCAGGCTGACTGTCCTTCTCCCTCCCTCTCCATGGCCTGGCCAGAGCAGCTGAGCTCTAGCCCCTGTCTCCTCTTTCCTCTCTCAAGGCCTCTGCTGGAATGAGCTCTACCTGCCTCGCATCCTTGGGACACCAACCTCTTCTCTTTCTTTGGGTCCTTACCTAAAAATCGCCTCCCTGAGGCCTCCCTAAATCAGAGCCCCCATGACACTCTTCTTTCACACAAGAAGCTACATCCTGAGCACTTCTCCCTGCCGTCTGGGAATGGTGTTCCCTGGGGCTAAGCCCCAGACAGTTGGGACCGTAAAATCCTCTGGGATAGTACAGCTACAAGGTGGAGGGGGCTGCTGGCGTGGAAGCAAGAGAAGGGACGAGGGGTCTGCTGCGGAGGCTTTGTCAGGAGATGCCTCCTGGAGTTGCAGGACCTGAGTTCTGCTGGGAAGAGGTGGGTGAGCTGCCTGCCTGCCATCTTCTTTTCTGTCTCAGCTCACTGAGCAGATCATACAGAGGGAAAGGCAGATGGAGGCTTGGGGGTGGAGGAAGATGAGTCCTGAGGGGTCTAGGGGCGAAAGGGCTCTGGTGTCCCTCCAGGTCTTCAGGGGTACTTGTTATGGAGGTAGATGCAACTTTATCAGCTCAGCAGGTGGCCACCCTGTGCTTGAGCTCGGGAAGGAGCCAGTGTGCAGCCAGGTGCTGGCTAACCGAGCAGAGCCCCACACCCCCAGGGGTCCCCTGCGTTGTCCCTGAGGGTCCCCTGCATTAGATCCA